AACTAATCCCCGTCTGTCTTGGAAATCACTTGTTCCAAACTGGTTCTGACTTCTCAAACCTGAGGCTGACCCCACTTCCTAGGACTATACGTCCTCAACCCCAGGAATGAGTCCCTTAACCCAAGGATGGGACCTGAAACAAGACAGACCAGCTTCTCCCAGTCCACAAATCAACTATACTGACCTCGCCAACATCTGCTTCTCGACCACAGTGAATTTTCCTTGTTTTCTGGGTAAAGCCTGTTCAGAACTAAAACTAGTCATTTATCAGCCCCTTCTCACCCCCAAAAAATCACTTGCCTCCCCCACACTTCATCCCATGTCTAGTCCTCCTGGAATCACAATTAAAGAAAAGTAGAAAATGAGGGAAAGAGGCAGAAGGTCAGGGATATCAGAAAAAGGAGAAAGACAAGCTGTTGAGATGGTCAAGAATTGGGTTGGAGGTCTAGAGAACAGAGAATAGAGCTTCCTAGTTCCACAAATCCTTAGAGCACCCTTGGCAGCCTCACCTCGAAAGCTGAGCTTTACTTGTCTGTCGTGGGTCCCCGGCAGCCCTATTAGTCTCCGGACACACACAGTCAGAGCCATGGTCCCAGTGCCACTGGCTCTCCCTCTGCCCGCTTGCCCTCCTGCCCACCTGAGTTGCCTCTGACTCACTGGACTCACCCAGCAGGTTCAGCAGTCCCTGCCCTTTAGCCAAACATATAGGTGGCAGGCCTGGGGGTCATGGGTGGAGATGGAGGGAGGACAGAGGTGGGGATAAGATATCTATGCTCAGCTCAGTTCTCCCTGCCTGCACCAGCTCCAACCTGACAGGATGCCTCAGCCTTCATCCCTTCTCATGGGCGAGGGACTGGGAAAGGGTGGGGGTAGAGAGGACAGGACCCCAGTCTGGTACCTGCTATCCTATGAGGCCTCAAGGGCATAGAACTCACACTGTTGTTGTTGTTGTTTGGTACCGGGGATCTAACTCCGAACCTTGCTCTTTTGAGGCAGGTGCCAGAACCACTGAGCTAAATCCCCAGCCCCTCACATTGTTTTTTGTTCATTTCTGTGTTCCCAGCTCAGGATATGGCACATAGTAAACCCTCAAAACACTGGATGGGTAATTGGATGGATTAATAAATTCCCTAGCTCCTGCATTAGTGCTATAGATATTTAATATATTTATTGAATTAATGCGAGTGCATCCATAGCCTGCATATAGTAGTTGTTCCATATGCTTATTTATCATTTTATTTTATTTTATTTAGACAAGATCTTGCTATGTAGTCCAGGCTGGCCTTGATCTCAGTATGTAGCCCAGGCTGGCCTTGAACTCATGACATTTCTCCTGCCTCAGCCTCCCAAGTGTTGAGATCACAAATGTGTGGCACCACTCCGAGCTGTTCCATATGCTTTTTTTGCGGGGGGGGGGTACCAGGGATTGAACTCAGGACCTTGTGCTTGCAAGGCAGGCCCTGGAACCACTGAGGAAATTTAAATCCCTGGCCCATCCCAGGCCCTCCATATGCTTTTTAACCAGAAGCTAGAGGTCCTTAACTTGGGTTCCTAGGACAATAGTGGGAGCATGAATGGCTTCCAGAGAGTCTGCAAACCTTTGTACTAATCTGTAAAATATAGTTTTGGTGCTGGGGATCGAACTTGGGTCCTTGCGCTTGCATAGCAAGAGGCAAAACCACTGAACTAAATCCCCAGCCTAATCTGTAAAATATTAAGGACGTGTACATTTTTCTGGATATAAAGTTCCTTGCTTAGGTTATTACCCTTAACAGATGTGAAATAATTGTGCTCAACAAAAGAATGAATGTTGCAGCCTGAAACTGTGTGTTGAATGAATTTCCAGGCTATCCACTTCATTATTCTATTAAATGTACCTCCTATGTGCAGGACTTGTGCTATACCCCCATTGGGGAGGGGTTCCACTACAGAGATGTAAATCAGATGTGTGTCTCTGTCTCCCAGTGCTTTCAAGAACTCCAATTGCTAACATAGCCAAGAAATTCCATCCCACATTCACCATCCCTATAGGAAAGGGTCAGGGCTAGGGATGTCTGAGGAAGGAGGGCAGAGGGGCTTTCCTGAAAAAGGAGTATTTAAAATGGGTTTTGGAGCCGGACGTGGTGGCACATGTCTGTAATTCCAGCACTCGGGAGGCTGAGGCAGGATGATCACCGAGAGTTTGAGGCCAGCCTGGTCTACATAGTGAGTTCAAGGCTAGTTTGATCTACATAGCGAGACCCTGTCTCAAAAATAAATAAATAAAATGGGTTTGAGGACAGGCATTGGGAGCAGAGCCAGGCATTCAGGCAGTGAAGAGGAATGTGTGGCGTGTTCTGGAACAGGTGATTTGTTCATTTTAGCCTAAATATGAGGAATGTATAAGGTAGCACCAGCAGATAAGATTAGACCATCAGAGGAGCAGGGTCTTGTGTGGCTTTGAGCTGGACATGGGTCATTCCTGTGCTTCAGCATTTCCATCTCAATACTGAGGTTGGAAAGCTCTGTTCTATTTCTCAGTTGTTAGGTGTTCAAATGAGTTTGAAGGTCTATAAAATATCAAACAAGAGGGATGTGTATGTTTTCTTTCCAAGCAAGATCCAAGCTAGACTCCAGGCCCTCCAATGTTGGGGAAGGGCTTCACCTCTCCTCTTTGACAGACAAGGACACTGGAACCCAAAGGAGTTCCCAGTCTGTGCCAGTTCATCTTTAATTGTCAGCTGGACTGGATTAAGAGACTCTTGGAGGGATGTAGCTCAGTGGCACCACAACTGCCTCACAACCACAAAGTCCTGAGTTTGATCTCCAATACCACAAAGAGAGGAGAGAGAGAGAGAGAGAGAGAGAGAGAGAGAGAGAGAGAGAGAGATTGACTCTTGGAGAGGGGAGTAGACCTCAGGCACCATACTCATCAGTGGATTAATCTAATCAAACCATGGACTGACACCTGTCTGGAGCCTAGCATGGCAATCTCCCCTCTGGGTTGGAACACACCTTAACAGATTGTCCTTGTGCTTCAACTCCTCTAAGAATTGCCACTGCCGCTTTCTAATTCTCTAAAGAAGGTATGATGTGGGGCCGGGGATTTAGCTCAGTGGTTCTGGCGCCTGCCGTGTACGCACCAAGTCCCGAGTTTGATCCCCGGTACCAAAAAAAAAAAGAACAACATAAAGAAGGTATGATGTGACAGATGACAGAGTATTGGTCTGGAGGGCAGGATTTTGACATTCCAATCTGTTGTATCACACTTTTAAGCAGTCTCAGGCAAGTCCTTTGCCCTCTCTGGACTGTTTGCCTAGCTGTCTAATTTGAGCAGGACACACTACCTTACTTGAAAGTGTGGAGATAAATGAGGATTGTTCATATGATTGTTTAAAATACACATTCCTGGGCTGGGGATTTAGCTCAGTGGTTCCACTGCCTGCCTCATAAGCACAGGGACCTGAGTTTAGTCCCCGGTACCAAAACAAAAAGCACATTCCTAGCCAGATGCTCACACCTGAAATCTCAGATGCTTAGGAAGCTGAGGCAGGAAGATCAAAAGTTCAAATCTAGCCTGGGTAACTTAGTGAAATCTTGTCTCAAAAAGAGAGAGAGAAGGAAATCAATAGAGAGAGAGAGAAAGAGAGAGAGAGAGAGAGAGAGAGAGGAGCTGGAGCCTGTCATGGTGGCAGATGCCTGTAATCCCAGCACTTGGAAGTTGAGACAGGATGATTGTTTGAGGCCAGCCTGAGCTCCATAGTCAGTTCAAGGCCAAGGTGAACTACATAGCAAGACCCTTTCTCAAACAAAAACAAAAAAAGGAGCTGCAGATGTAGTTTAGTGGTAAATTGCACGTGGGTTCAATCCTCAGTACAACAAAACAATAAAATCACATTCCTGGGTCCATCCTAGATATGCTGAGTCTCAAGCAGAACCTAGGAACCTGAATTTCTATAAGTTACACTAGTGCTGCATTCTGTTGTACAGCAGAAGTTGGGGAACCCTTGTTTCCCAGCATGACCATCTGAAGTTCCTCATTCCCTTCTTCATTGCTCAGGTAGGTGGTCTTGAGTATGGGGACGGGTGCATACTGAATTCTCACCCCACAGACCCACGGGGGACATGTTTCTGGAGGAGGGATGACAGATCCTGAGGTCAGAGTTCTCTGGCCTGTTGACTGGGATTACAGAAAAGGGCAAAAGGGTTTGCAGAGCAAAGAAGGCAATGTTTATTTACAAGTTCCCTGGGTAATGGTCTACTCCTTAAGATTCATTCCTTTGCAAATATTGAGCACCTACTATAGGCTAGGCCTTTCAATGTGCTGGAGGATACAGAAGTGAAAAAAACAACAATCACCGCCCCTCTAGTGGCCATGACAAGCAAAAATAAACTAAATAGGTCAAATATATAGCATGTTAGTGTGGATAGCAGAGGAGAAGCTGGACATTGTGGCATGTACCTATAATGCCAGCTCCTCCAGGAGGCTGAGATCGGAGGATTGAGTATTGGCCAGGCCAGCCTGGGCAATTTAGTGAGACCCTGTCTCAAAAAAAAAAAAATTAAAATTAAAATTAAAAGGGCTGGGTACACCTGAGTGGTACAGCGACCTTGGGTTCAATCCCAGTAACACACACACACACACACACACACACACGCACACAGAAAAACAGCAAGGACAGAAATCATTTTACATTGAGTGTAGTTTCAGATGGTGTCTTCTGGGAAGTGTGATGTCACTGTTCGCATTAAACGTCACAAAACCAATTGCCAAAAAAAAAAAAAAAAAAAACCAACTGCCTAGACTCCCACAGCTCCCAGTGACGTCACGACCAGCTCTGTGACGTCAGGTCTCCTTTGTGACAGTGGCTGCCAGGCACAGACAGGAAGGAAGGTGGAGTCCGGCCACGCGGCCCTCGGGTTCAGGCTGGGTCCGTGGGCACCCGCGGCGAGCAGCGGCTGGGGAGGGCCGAGGGTCGAGGGCCTGGGTGGCTGTGTGGCAACTGCGGCGTCCTTGACGGGAGTCCTTGGGTCAGGATGCAGCGGAGCCCCCACCCCCGCACGAGCACCTGCCCAACTTCTACAGAGAGAACAGCAATAGCTCAGACAGCGTCCCTTCGGGGGACTGCAGCGGGCACCGGTCTCCTGGGCCGGGGCCCGGGGAGCCTGAGGGCAGAAGGGCCCGGGGCTGGAGCTGCGGTGAGCCTGCCTTGCGTCCAGGACTGCCCGGAGGAACCCCATGGGCTGGAAGCCCTCGCCAGGAGCCTGCGCCTTGGAGCCACAACAAGGGCGTATGGCGCGGCAACCGTGAGGGCCGGGGCCTCGGGTGCGGACGGAGTCGAACCCGTGGCGCTGAGGGAGGGGGTGGTCCTGCGGGGGGGGGGGTCCTGGGTGGAACGGAAAAGGTCTGCGTGCCTCCTGTGTGAAAGGCGCTTAGTAAGATCCCTTAGAGGGCGGTGCCACGGTGTGATGGACGGCTCTGGGAAGGGGCAGGGAAGCCCTGTGATTGTGCACTACAGAGGAGCTCCACCCTGTGGACGTGATTGGCCACCTGGAAAGAGGGCCGTACCAATTGGGGCGGGGAATCATTTGGAGGTGGGACCAACTCCTGACTAGGCCCCGCCCCAGGCCTTCAAACAGCCTGGGAGGCCTGGAACCTGCCTGTGTCGAGACTAAATCCTGTCTGAGGGGCTGCCCTCCAGTCTGCGCTAGAGAACCTGCGGCCGGGCCTCGGGGGGTAAAAAGTGGGCCTGGGGTGTGCAAGGTCCCAGTGGAGCCCGTGGGCTCCCGCAGAACCGGCTGCGTCTCCCCCAGTCTCTGAGGAGCAGCGGAGCCTTCTCGCGACCCTGGATCTGAGGCGGGAGATGCCTGCCCCACGGGCGACCAAGAGCTTCCTGAGTACGCTCCGGGCCAGCCCGAGCTCTGCAGAGCCCCGGCCCCTCTCCGAGACTCCTGTCGGGTGTCCAGCCCCCCTGCGGAACCCGGAAAGCTGGTGGGCGCCCCCAGAGCCGTCCTCGGGGTCCCCTCTCTGATCCGGCTCTCCTCCCCCAGGCCTCCTCTTCCAGGTGCTGAAAGTGCTGTTGTCCCTGGTCCGAGACGTGCTGCTCGGTGTGTGCAGGTCAGGGGGAGCGCGGGGGCGCCCCGGGCGCTGCTTGGGCGAGTGGAGGCGAGGCCAGGCCCACGAGGCTCCAGTCGATTTCCATCGGTGGTCGGGCAGGCAGGAGCGGGGCTAGGGCCCTGGGATTCGGGCTGCGTGGACCAGGCCTCAGCCTCTCTCTGTTCCCCCAGGGAGGTCTCCTCTGTCCGCTTCCTGTTCGCTGCGTCGCTGCTGAGCGTCTTTCTGGCCGGTGAGGGGCAGATGCCCTGGGGCCCAGCTCTGGACACTCATTTCCCTCGATGTCCTTCAGCCCATCCGGCTTTCAGACCCTCTCGTCTGACTCCCACCACACCCCGTCTCCCACCGCCCTCCCCGGCCTCAGCCCCAGCCCCCGGGCTCTACTTTCACTGTCCCCTCTGACCAGGAAACCCCTTCCCTGCCTCTTCCTTTCCTTTACCCACGTCTCCTTTCTCCAGCATTCTCTTGGGGGTTCGTGGACCTGCTTCCTCCTTTGGAGAATGTGAGTCGGGGACACCGAGTCCTGGGATAGGTGGAGGCTGTGGCGGTCCCGGGCTGCTGGGAGGGTGCAGAGCCAGAGGCTAATAGTAAGGAAGCACTGGGCACAGATTTCTGAGAGGCTGCGATCCTAAAGGTCCGCCAAGTGTTGAGAGAGGCGGGACAGTTCTCAAAAGGAGCACTGTGAGTCTGGCTGCCCCCAGGCTGACTTGGGAGGAAGGGAAGCGGCGCGGAGGTGAGCGTCCCTGTATTTGCCTCCTAACCCATAGGAACCTAAGGAGATGCTGACTCCCAGGTGAAAGAGGGCATCTGGGGTGGGTCGGGCGGCCCAAAGGTGCTTCAATGGGGGCCTTGCGGGAGGGGGCGCAGGGAGTTGAACGCAGGGCTCCTGCTGCAGCGAGTATCACGAGCGCGTGCGCTCCCACGGGCAACAGCTGCAGCAGCTTCAGGCTGAGCTGAATAAACTCCGCAAGGAGGTGGCTCGAGTTCGTGCAGCTCACAGCGAGGTAAGCAGCGTCCGGAGGCCGCGCAGAGGTCTGGTGGGGAGTCTGGCCCTGTGGCTCCGCCCACTCGCGGTCCCCCACACACTTGGAAAACCCCTGGCCGGGTCCTGGGACTCAACCTTCATCCCAGAGCTCCACTGCATGTCTCTCCTGGCGCCCATGAAGTCCATCCCAGAGCACAGAGTTCCCTGAGAGCCCGCCCCACTTGTGAACCAGCCTGCAAGCCCCGCTCCTCCCGCCTCCCTCCCCGCTCCTCCCGCCTCCCTCCCCGCTTTAGAGAGTGGCCAAGCTCGTGTTCCAGCGGCTGAATGAGGATTTTGTGCAGAAACCAGACTACGCCCTGAGCTCTGTGGGTAAGACCCAGAGACACCGAAGGAGATGCAGACGCTGACAGACCTCTCCCCAACTGTCGGTAAGGCCTGGAAGCCCCTGAGGATTATTTCTCCCCGCTGCAGGAGCCTCCATTGACCTAGAGAAGACATCCCATGACTACGAGGACACGAATATGGCCTACTTCTGGAATCGCTTCAGCTTCTGGAACTATGCTCGGCCGCCTACAGTCATCCTGGAGGTGGGCCTGGAACCAGGATCCTGGGACGGGACCAAGGGATGGGTGCTGGAGAAAGGACCAGCTCCGAGGAGGCAGGACCTGGTTGAGTTGAGGGTGTGGTTGAAGTTGAAGGCGGGGCGCTTGAGGAGACTGGGTCTGTCTGTGCCCTAGTGAAGCTCTGGGTGAAGCTGAGGAACTGGAGACCTGGCCGTGCTGGGGACTGAGGGCGGGATCTGAGCCCTGAGTGGGATCAGGTTAGAGACCAGGGGTGGAGGTGGAGCTCTGGGCTGGGCCTAGGATGAGGAGGGGAAGTGGTCACTGCCCTCGGGTTCTGATGGTTCCTCCCCACCTCCCACCTTGCAGCCAGACGTGTTCCCTGGAAATTGCTGGGCTTTTGAGGGCGACCAGGGCCAGGTGGTGATCCGGTTGGCAGGTCATGTGCAGCTGAGTGATATCACCCTGCAGCATCCACCTCCCAGTGTGGCACACATGGGGGATGCCAGCAGCACCCCCCGAGACTTTGCAGTCTTTGTGAGTTTGGCTGAGGCCAGGAGTTGGGGTATTTTGCTTAGAACACAACAGGCAGTCTTGAGAACTGGTGCTGGTATTTGAGTCTTTGCTTGCTCATGTGTAAACTGGACATACTGAGATTTGCCGGTCAGAGTTGCTGCATATACAAATATTAGGTATTACTTTGTGTCAAGCACTTTACATGAACTATTTTATTGCATCCACATAACACCTATGAAATACAGTAATCTCCCTCTTTAGATATTTAGAAAGTAATCCTGAGACATTACTTGCTCAAGGACACACATGGCCAGACTAAAAACCCACGTTCCACACTTACCCATCCTACAACAGAACAAACATGAGAGCACATATAAAGCTACTGAAAAATAGAAAATTCTCAACAAAGTTGTTTTCCCTCCCCTCTGCATGTGCCTTACTGTTTCTCCACTCACCCTTCACCCACCAGGGTCTCTGGGTTGACAATGAGACTGAAGTTTTCTTGGGAAAATTCACCTTTGATGTGAAGAAATCTCCACTTCAGACTTTCCACCTGCAGGTGTGTTTGTCTCTGTGGGTGAAGATGCTAAGGGGGGAGGGGGGACAGTGAGAGATGAATGGGAAGGGAAGTGACTGACAGCAGTTCTTGGCATGATCCATTTGTCTCCCCAGAATGACCCTCCATCTGCCTTTCCCAAGGTGAAGATCCAGATTCTAAGCAACTGGGGCCACCCACGTTTCACATGCTTGTATCGAGTCCGTGCCCATGGTTTACAAATCTCAGAGAAGGGAGAGGACAGTGCCACAGTGTTTAATCCCCATTAAACATGATAATGGTTGGAGTAGAACTGAGCTTTATATGGAAGGAAGCTGGATCAGTGCTGGGCAGTCCTCTGCTGGGAGAGCTCTGGCTGTCTGTGGCATATAAGTATGGCAGGTTCTACTTCTCTTCTTGGATTAGTTCCTATTAATACAGTAGCAGCAGCTGATGTTTATGGAATACTTAACAGATGTAAGAGTCAATGCTGTGGATAATCTGCACTAGACATTACCTAACTTAATCCTCACAACCACACAGGAAATGCTCGGGTCAAAAAATTTGCTCAAGGTTACACAGCTAATGAAGGGTAGGGTCAGAATGGAATGCAGAGCCATCTTCCTCCAGGAACACTTTTAACTGTAGGGCTTCCAGGCACCTTCTCAGTTCCCACTCCTAATGTTGGGATTGCTAGGTGTGGGTGAAAATTCTGGAAAGCCTCTGAGTCACAAGAGTTGATCCAGACCTGGTAGCCTTTACGCAGGGTTCTTTACTAAGGCCTCAGTCCAACTTTGTGCTACAACAGTAGTGTAGGTTATCTGGTATTTATCACACCCTGGCCTTGAGGCAGACAAGGGGAAGACGCTGCTCAAAGAAACAGGACAATTCATTTATAGATCCAAGAATCTTCACTCTAAAATTCAAAAGTGGACTCCAGAGGAAAAAAAGATGGAGGAGACAAGCAAAGGACTGAGTTCTACCTAGGGATGGGAAAAGTGTTCTACAAATTTCCAAGAAGACAGAAACGTTTGTCTCTGAATTGGGAAGATGCTAACAGACCAAAGGATGACTCAGACAAGACCAGCTTAGCGAATGAGTTTATTAAGGGTACAGAGTGGTAGATGGCTTATGGGGAGTTGTACTTCCAAAGTTTGCACACACATACACTGCTTACAAAGCTCTTATTTAATATACAGCTATAAGTCACACAGCAAAAAGCAGAAGTAAAAACGAGAATCCATGTGAAGAATTATACATTCAGGTACATTCTGTTCCCCCTCATCACTGGGAATTCTGGCTAGGCGTGCTGGTGCATGCCTGTAACCCCAGGACTCAAAAGGCTAAGGCAGGAAAATCGCTGAGTTCGAGGCCAGCCTGCATTACAAAGGAAGACCAAAAAAATCTAAAGTTAGCCAGGCATGGTGGCACATAACTGTAATCCCAGCTGAGGCAGGACAATGGCAAGTTGAAGCCCAGTCTGGGCAACACAGTGACTTAGAAAGACCCTGTCTCTGCACCTAGCACTCTGGGAGCTTGAGGCAGAAGGATCACAAATTGGAGCCTGGTTTGGACAACTTGGCAAGACCCTATCTCCAAATAAATGGTTGTAGTCCCAGTTACTCAGAAGGCTAAGGCATGAGAATCATTTGAGTCCAGAATACAGAGGCGTGGAAAAGCAGTGGTCTTTACTGGTCTTTATTGAATGAGAGGTGCCAAGAACAAGCAGGTGGGATCAAGAGTAGCAATAACAGGCCAGGCATGGTGGTGCAAGCCTGTAATCTCAGCACTCGTGAGGCTGAGGCTGGAGGATCGTTGTGAGTTTGGGGCCAGCCTCGGCTACAATAGTGAGTTCAAGGCCAGGCTCCAAAGTAAGACCCTGTCTCAAAAAAACAAAACAGAGTAGCAGTAACAGAAGCAGGAATAAAATATAAAGTGCCATGATACAGAGGATGTTGGGCACATGAAGTTGAGGACTGCCAAGGGAACCTAGGCCTGGGCAGCCTGTGCAGGAACCTTGGCTGGGGATGGAGGCATCTTGAGTGAGGCCCAACCTTGAGCCTTAAAGTAGGAGACCAGCTGTGTGGGCACTTCTGCAAGCACAGTCTGTGCCAGTGCTTCCCGAGGGGCCTGGAAGGACAAGAGCAAAGTCACTGAGGTAGGGATGGGAATAACAGCTTCCTAAAGTTTTTAGCTCAACCCAAGAAAAGATACAAATCTAACACCCAACCTGCCCAGACTTTGAGGAAAGGGCTTATATTTCCTGGTCCTCAACCCCATTCACCTCACAACAGGTGGAAGGATAAACTCCCAAATGGGTTTGCCCTCCAGCCTTGCCCCTACTCACATTCTGGAACTGATGGTAAGGCACAAACTGCACTATGTCATGGGCTGCTGACTCCCCAGGGCCCGTGTGTTGAGGCCTGCTATCGGCATCCAGCTGTTCCATGGCCTTGAAGTCAGCTCCACCCACTCCCACAATGATCCCTGACATGGGCAGTTTTGAGGCATTTACCACAGCCTGACAGGTAGCCTCCACATCTGTCACAGCACCATCAGTCAACAGCAACAGCACGTGAAGTATTGCTAGGAGCAAGCCCATACATGTATTCAGGAAGATGCTCTTTCTACAACCCCTCCAAACATTCCAACCACATATTCCCTTGTTACACAGCCCTCACAACCCATTACTGGTGCTACCAACAATGCTTACTGACGCAGTCCTTTGATATGCAGCCTGGGCTGCAAATCTGGCCACATGGTTGATAATAGGTGCAAAATTGGTGGGGCCATAGAGGCGAACTTGAGGCAAGGCTTTGCGGTAGGCATCTACAATGCCTTGGCCTGCAGGGAAAGAGGGAAAACAAGCCACTGTGAAATTCCAGACTTTCCAAGACTAGGCTAGTCCTGAAATCAAGAATCTAGATGCGTTTCATTCAGTCACCCCTGTGACCCAGGGTACCTAACTCTATCCTACAGATAAAAACAAAGGCTCAGGCTGGGGATTTAGCTTAGTGGTTTTGCCGCCTGCTGTGCAAGCCCAAGGACCAGAGTTCGATCCCTGGTACCAAAAACAAAACAAAAAAGACTCAAAGAGATGAGACTTGCACAAAATAACAGCTTGGAATATAACCCTGATTAAGTATAAATAAAGAACAAAATAAAAGGTAATAGGAAATACGGAGCTAGATCTTTTGGAAATGGAAGATCAAGAGATAGAGGGAGCAGAGGAGAGATCTAAAAAGAATTAACATATGTACTTGTGTTATGTATTTCTCACAATGAATGTAATCATTATGTGTAAGGAACAGGGAAAGGGGACGTTACTAGAACCTCTGCAGTAAGTCCTACTCTCCTGCGAGCCATGGCAGCACAAGGGGAATTAACTTATTATACAGGAAAGGTAGAAAAAATGAGACTTGGAGAAGCTGAGCTTCGGGCCTGATCAGTGCTGCTCTGGGCAGCAAAGACAAAAGCCCCCAAGCTTGCTGCACCTTTTATTCAGTACCAGGAGAAACAAAAGTAACAGATGACTTGGGAGTGGCGGAATCCCTAGATCAATGAGGAACTGTACAGATGCAGATTTGGTTCCTCCCAGGATGTCTCTCGAAGGCGTGGTCTTGTCCTGGAGCATCACAGCATCATGGGGATCATTGAGGTCTCAGTTGTGACCCGAGGCCAAGGTGAAATCATGTTTCAAAATGCCATAGCGGGCCTGTAGGCAGGAGAACTAGACCTAATCAAACGGTTTTTCCCTAAAATTATGTAGCATTGCTCCCGACAATTATGTACTGCAAACATATACTAATAAAAATCTTGGGCCGGGGATTTAGCTTAGTGGTTCCCACGCCTGCCTCTCAAGCAAAAAGTCCCGAGTTTGATCCCCAGTACCAAAAAAAAATTAAATAAATAAATAAATAAATAAAAGCTAGCTCTTGAAAAAAAAATCTAACCCCTGCCCCCCCAGATTAGGGAGATTCCCTGAACAAATTCTGGACTTTCTGAGAATTAAATCAACTACTTAACAAACTAATGAATTATAATCTACTTAGTAAGAATCCATAGAGATATTAATCACTGGAGAACAAGGCAAAGCTCTTAAAAAAGCTCTTCTTAAAAAGAAGAATTACAAAATCATTTGATGATCATCATAGAAATAACTGATTCAGGCTGGGTATAGTGGTATATGCCCATAATCCTAGCACTCTGGGTGGCTGAGGGAGGAGGATCAAAAATTCAAGCCCAGGGGGCTGGGGATTTAGCTCAGTGGTTCTGCTGCCTGCCTTGCAAGTGCAAGGACCTGGAATTGATCCCCGGTTCCACACACACTCATACAAATATTCAAGCCCGTCCTGGGGAACATAGCCAGATCTTATCTCTCTCTTTTTTTTTGGTACCAGGGATTGAACTCTGGTCCCTTACACTTGTGAGGCAGGCGGCAGAACCACTGAGCTAAATCCCTGGCCCCAGACCTTATCTCAAAAAATAAAAAAATGGGTTGGGGATGTAACTCACTGCAAAGGCCCCGGGTTCAATCCCCAGTACCAATCATCATTATCAGATTCAGAAAAGGATCACCAATGGATGTGAAAGTTGATTAATAGATATTAGGGGTTTTTGAGACAAGGTCTTCCTGTGTAGTTCAAACTGGCCTTGAACTCTCTGCAGTTCTCCTGCCTCAGCCTCCAAGCACTGGGATTACAAGCCTGTGTCCACACCTGGCTACTTTTTTGTTTTTGTTTTTTTTGGTACCGGGGATCCAACTCGGGACCTTCTGCTTTCAAGGCAGGCAGTGGGACCACTGAGCTAAATCCCCGGCCCTGTTTTGTTTTTGAGACAGAATCTCAGTTGGTAGTTCAGGCTGGCCTTGAACTATGTAGCCCAAGCTTTGAACTTGTGGCAACCCTCCTGCCTCAGGTGTAGCTCTAACTTGAAATTTATGTAGCTTCAAAGTTTATTCTCAAAAGATACTTATAAATTATGAAAGGAAGAACAGTATTTATATAGTGAAGAAATATGATAGACCCTATCTTAACCAAGACATCAAAGTTAATAACTAACGTCAGGATTAACCAACATTATATCCGTCTCCTGCTATGATGCACTGAGAATGTACAGCATTGTGTGGATAGTATTCCTGCTAAAAAATGTGAAGTCTTAGGATGCTTCAGGTAAACCCGAATTAAGGACTATTCTAAAAATTACCTAGCGTACGTACACACACACACACACACACACACACACACTCGTACAGGCAGGTGAACTCAGGACCTTGCACTTGCTAGGCAGGTGCGGCACCACTAAGCTATATTGCTATTGTTGGATATGTAGTTCAGTGGTTCCGCCGCCTGCCTTGCAAGCACAAGGACCCCGGTTCGATCCCTGGTACCAAAAAAAAAATCCTCAGCCCCCACGCCTGTATTCTTAAAAAATGTTAGTATTATGAAACATGATGAACTCTTATAGATGAAAAATATAACTGAATGCAATATGTAATCTGAGATTCCCTCTTGCTGTAAGACATGAGGACAACTGGCAAAATCTAAATAAATGGCATAAACTGGACAATATTACTGTATTATGTTAATTTCCTGATTTTGAGAATTACACTTTGGTTATGTGACAGAATGTCTTTTAGTGAACACTGAAGTATTTGGATGAAGGGCTATATGGATGATAATAGACACAAAGTTGGTAGGCTCTAACATTCTCAAACAGAAAAAAAAAAAGATTAAAAAACATCAAGCCAGATGTGGAAATCCATGCTTGTAATCCTAGCCCTTGCAGAAGCTGAGGACTGCAAGTTCAAGCCTGGCCTGGGCAACTTATAATCACAGTGATTCTTGAGGCTGAGGCAGGAGGACAAGATGGAGCTCAGGACTTAGCAACTTATTGAGACCTTGTTCCAAAGTAAAAAATAAAATAGAGCTGGAGATAAAACTCAGTGCAAAGAATTCCCAGTACAATCCCCAGTACAGGGGGAAGGGAGCCATTCTCAAGTCAGATCAGGTGAGTTCAAAAACTCCCACTCCTAGGGACTGTTAGGTAAAGATAATAATTAAAGGGCCGGGGGTTTAGCTCAGTGGTTTCAGCACCTGCTGCGCAAGCACAAGGACCCAAGTTCGATCCCCAGTACAAAAAAAAAAAGATAATAATTAACAATGTTATGGTTTAGATCTAAAATGTCCCCTGTGGGGGACAGTGGCGCTGCGCCTGCCTGGCAAGTCCAAGGTCCTGAGTTCAATCCCTGGTACCAAAAAAAAAAAAAAAAAAAAAAGTGGTTAAAATGTCCCCTAAATTCTCAGGTGTGTGGAAAATGATGGAATCATGGGGTGCTATACTCATCAGTAGATTCATCCATTGATGAGTTCAGTAGCTGAGTGTGCATTTAGGAAGTGGGCCTGGCTGGAGATAGGTCACTGGAGTGTGACCCCAAGGGTGCATTGTTGTCACCAGCTTCTCCCTTCTCTGCTTCCTGGCTGCTACGGGATGAGCTGCCATCCTCCACCCAGGCTGTTTCTGCCTTGGGCCAGCTGACCATGGACTGAAACTGTGAGCCAAAATAAACTTCTCCCCTTTTAAGTTGTGATTATTAGGTACTGTTTCTATCAAAGGGAAACTAAGATAAACAGCTACTGTTTTGGGGGTAGTACTTACTACATGCAGGATTACTGCTTTAAATGTACTGCTTTACTTGAATCTTCTCCTTGAATACTCAGTACCCTACGATATTTAGCTTAATTGTAAAACCAAAGCACAGAGAGCTAAGCAAGTTGCCCCAAATCATGTGGTTAGCAAGTAGCAAGATGAAGAGTTGACTCCAGAGGTAGAGATCCAACAAGGCTGACTAGAGGAAGAGATGCTCAGAGAGGATCCAATGAAGCCACAGGTACTCTGTAGTGGGGGAGAGATTTATACCCTGAAATAGAAAATTAATCAGAAGATGATACATGTAGATCAATCCAAATATCTAGATCATTGAAAATGGGAAGCAGTGCTGCCTTGGCTGGTCTGCACTGCTCAAGCTTTAGCATCTACCCCTCCAGGGAGCAGCCATCTTGAAAGGATCCCAGACAGCCTCGGAATAAATAAATGCTACAAAGGCTTAGGTCAGACTCTGCAAGTACCAGCCCTTTCTTCCTACTACCTCCCCTCCAAACACTGGGAAATGCTGCAGCCTACTGGCATCCTCAGCAGCAGTCACTCTGGGCAAGAAAAGCTCCCAACCAGCTCTGGGCAAAGAGAAGATAAACAAGGGAACAGGTCTTGTGGACTTATGAGGGCAGTCACCCCTGCCTGCCAACTCCCAAGGACCCCTGTGAGCACATGAACACACACACTGACTTTGTCATCATGCTGAGGGGGAAGAGTCCCTAAAGAAGTCTAGAAACAGCAACATATTCCGCCTGCTGGCTGAAGGGGAGAATTCTTGAGACTGGGTTATTTTGGGTTTTGAATGCAAGAGAAAAGAGGGGAAACTGGTGTGGTTGCCTACAATCAGAGTGTAAGTAAGGCAAGAAGGGAACTGTGTGAACACTCAGGCTTTTTGGCATAGTAGACACATGGGGATCACATGTACATTCTCTTCTTGGAGTATTTCATCTGGGTTCCCACCAGAATTTTTTTTTTTTGCTTTGATTTAGTTGTTTATCTCTCTCTCTCTGCTCATCTCTCTATTTTGTATCTTTAACCCAAACTTCTGTAGCAATACTATTTTTTATTTTTTTACTTGTTTCCTTCACTGTTCAAATCTTTTCAAGTTTTTGTTCACTATACATATTCTGTCCTCTCAGCTACCCCTATTTTCTCTTGTATTAACCTTCTTGTCTTCTCTATTCCATTCTTTTTGCTCCTCCTTATCTTACCTAGGTCCCTGTCTTCCTTTGCCTCTTCTCCACTTTACAGGGGCACAAATATATAAACAGATTCCAACAACCTCATAGCTCTCCTCACTCCCAAAGTACACCTCCTTCCTCCTAACATCCCATCCTTACCCCAACAAATATCTTCTTAAAACCCTCAACACTAACACCTCAATCCCACTAAAAGACTTCCAACAGAATCTGATCCCCTATTTAATTTTTCAATCTATTACTCTTTCTCCTACCAACCTTTCCTCTTACTGATTTACACTTCTCTTTCACCCATCCCTCCATCTTATCCCTTTGATCCTCCTTCCACATTGCAGACTAAATGCTAGTAATAACAGACGACTAGCTGCAGTTTTGATTAAAAAGTGAAAGTGTAAATGCAAGTTTTATCACTTAAAAGCAATGTAAGATCAGATCTGTTGATGCTGTTATAATCAGTAGTAATTCTTTCCTCAAAACAGTGATAGGGTCTAAACCACTTAAATAGCTGAAGGAGTAAATACTACCTCTGGACAAATAAAACAGAAAACATATCACTGGAAGGCAATATCTAACTAAACAGATCATCATACCAACTACAATCTCTCCTTACCCTACTTGACTTCAATCCTCAGCACCAAAAAATAAATTAGAATCTACACCCCACACACACACTCACAGATGCATGCACACACATAGAAGAACATGAGAAAACAAGGTAACAAAAGGCTCCCAAGGTCTTCCAACTGTTGCCCAAGGTAGATTCAGGGAGTACCAATGGAAAGTAAATACCAGGTATTGAGATTTTATGACTTGCTTAAAGAAGAGTTAAAGAAACTTGGTGAGTTCAAAAAGGACATAATGCAAAAGTTTATGGAATTGGGCTAGGGATTTAGCTCAGTGGCACAGCATCTGCCTGGCAAGGACGAGGTCCTGAGTTCGATACCCAGTACCAAAACAAAACAAAATGAAAAAAACAATGAGGATATGGGAGAAACAAATAAAAAACTGGAAGAGCTGATTAAAACAGTTTAAAACACGAATGACAGCTGGGGCTCAGTGGTTCTGCTGCCTGCCCTGTAAGCGCAAGGACCTGAGTTTAATCCCCGGTACCCAAAAAAACCCCAAACAAACCATGAATGACATATTTGCCAAAGATATAGATTACACAAAAAAGTATCAGATAGAAATTTCAGAAATAAAAAAAAATAATATAGAATTTATAAATTGCAGAAATAAAGACAGTGTTTCACAAATCAAGGACAAAATGGTAATCACAATGAATTACTCGATAAAGCCTTAAAAACGATAAAAAAAATTTATCCAACAGCTACTACATGACACCAAGAGGAGGCTGAGCCAGGAGGATCACTGTGAGGTCAAGACCAGCCTGAACTACACAGTGAGACCCTGTCTCAAAAAAAAAGTGGAAACAAAATGGCCATTCTTCCAAAACTGATAGATATTATACATTTATTTCTATTTTAATGCAATCCCAATCAAAATACTTACAGCATTCCTCAGAGAACTGGAGAAAACAACTCTAAAATTCATATGAAACCAGAAGAGACCCAGAATAGTACAAACACTCCCTGGGCAACAAGAGCAAAGTGAAAGGCATCACAATACCTGACTTCAGGTTATACTGCAAGATTACAGTGAGAAAAACAGCATGGTATTGACATAACAGACATGTGGGTCAAGGGAACAGAAGAGAAGATACAGAAACAAACCTAGACACATTCAGCTATCTGATCTTTGGCAAAAAAGGCCAAAAGCACATGTTGGAAAAAAGATAGCCTCTTTATTTGGGTTTTTTTTGGTACCGTGGATCAAACTCGGGACCGTGCACTTTCGAGGCAGGCACCGGAACCACTGAGCTAAATCCCCGGCCGGCCCCCTCTTTATTTGGTGTTTTTTTTTTTTTTTTGAGACAGGGTCTTGCTGTGTAGCCCAGGCTGGCCTTGAACCCATGGTAATCCTACTGCCTCAGCATCACAAGTGCTGGGATTACAGGCATGCACTACCACACCGGCTAAAGATAGCCTCTTTAGGAAACAGTGCTGGGAAAACTGGCTCTACACATGCACAAAACTGAAGATAGACCCATACCTCTATGTACTAAACTAATATCAAAATGAATCGAAGACCCAAATTTTAAAACAGAAACAACCTACTGGAAGATAGGTAAAAACTCTTGAAGTGATTGAGGTAGGCAAGGACTTTCTGAACAGAACTCTAATTGCATAAGAAATTAACAGCAAGAATAAAAAAAAAATGGGATTACATCAAATTAAAAAGCTTCTGGGGCTGGAGATTTAGCTCAGTGGTTCTGCAGCCTGCCTTGCAGGTGCAAGGACCCTAGTTCGATCCCTAGTACCAAAAAAAAAAAAGCTTCTGGACAGCAAAGGAAACAACCAATAGAGTGAAGAAACAACTGACAGAATGAGAAAAAATTTTTGTCAGCTATTCCTCAGAGGACTAATATCTAGACTATGTAACAAACTAAAAAAAATTAGACTCCCCAAAATAAGACTCATTCAAAAAATGGGCAAATGAAATAGACAGTTCTCAGAAGAATAAGTACAAATGGGCAATAAATACATGAAAAAATGCTCAATATCTTTGGCCACTAGAGAAATATAAACACTTGGTATTTCTTTTCAGTAACTTTTTTTTTTGGTACCAGGGATCAAACTTGGGTCCTTGTGCTTGGAAGGCAGGCAGGGGAACCACTGAGCTAAATCCTCGGACCCCACTAGAGAAATATAAATTAAAACAACACTGGGATTTCGTCTTATACCAGAAAGAATAGCAATCATCAAGAAATCAAATACTTTTTAAAAAAGGAGAGAAAAAAAAATAGGAACAGAACTTTTGTATATAAGGAGGGGAAGAGCAGTTGAAGGGGAGGATGGAAAAAGAAGCAAGATATATCATGTACAGGTACAAATTCCCTATGTGAATGTTGAATGTTATCACTATGTATATCTAAAATGTGCCAATAAATGTTTTGCTTCAAAAAAATTTGAAGAAAAAAATAAAGAAAGAAATCAAATACTAACAAATGCTGCCATGGCTGCAGTGAAGAAGGAACCCTTTTACATCGTTGGTGGGAATGTAAATCTAGTATAGCCATTATGGAAATCAGCATAGAGATTTCTCAAAAAATTGAAAATAGAAACTCCATTTGACCTAGGTATTCCTCTTCTAGGTATCTTCCCCAAAGGGCTAAAGATATCATATTACAGAGATACATGCATGTGTTTATAGCAGCACAATTCATAATAGCTAAGTCTTGGAAGCAACCTCTATGTCCATCAACAGACAAATGAAGAAAATGTGGTATCTACATATAATGGAATACTATTCTGCTATACAGAAGGATAAAATCAAGACCTTTGTAGGAAAATGGATATACTTTTTAAAACATAATGTTAAGTGAAATAAATCGTCACACAAGCTTAAATACTGTATAGTTTCTCTCATTTAAGTAATTCCAAGTACAAATAAAGAGAAAAAGACTAATAAAAGGAATCAGGGAGCTAATCTTTTGCAAATGGGAAGGTGATCAAGACCCTGAGGTTTGGGGAAGGGGAAATAAAAATGTAAGATGCGTCATGTATACATATACCAACTATCTCCAATGAGTATAATCTTTTTTTTTTTTTTCGAGACAGGGTAACCCTATGTAGTTTAGGCTGGCCTTCAATTCACTATGTAGCCCAGGATGGCCTCGAACTCACAGTAATCCTCCTGCCTCAGCCTTCCAAGTGCTGGGATTACAGGAATGTGCTACCACGCCTGGTCTAATGAATGTAATTTTTTTTTTGGTAAGGTGGATCCAACTTGGGTCCTTGTGCTTGCGCAGCAGGGGGCAAAACCACTGAGTTAAATCCCCGGCTAATGAATGTAATCTTTATAATGTCATAAACATGAACTAAAAATAATAATGAAAATAGGGAAAGGGGGTCTAGAGATGGAGGAAGGGGAATAAAAAGAATCAAGATAAGTTAAGTACATGTACCCACTTCCTAGGATGAATGTAAACATCATCTACTCCAAACACGTATGAATTTAAAAACAGAGTAAAGGGCCGAGGATTTAGGTTAGTGTCACCGTGCTGGCAGGAGCAAGGTCCTAAATTAGATCCCTGGTATCAAAATAAATAAATAAATAAATAAATAAATAAATAAATAAATAAATAAATAAATAAAAAAAAATAAAATAAGTTGACTCCAGAGAGGTATCTCTAAAATTCACTCTTTTGGACCATGGAGGCAGGTATCTCTTCCCTACCCCTCTTCTTTGCCTATACAGGCTCACCCTTCAAGTATGCACAAATCAATCTGCTTCACACTGAAGGACAGGGAACTTACCTGCACAATAGGGGTTATTAGGTTTGAAGTTCAAGGCAAATTCATGTGAGACCTGAGGGCAAGAAGGAAAATGAGGATTTTACTGGTGACTAAATGTCTGGTAGTGGCAGCGGAAAACGGGCTGCTGGCTCTGGCTAGGCCTCTGAGGAGATGAATCCAGTGCAAATCCAAACCGTCAGAACTGCCACCATGACAGTGGGCAAGAGCAGCAAGATGCTGCAGCACACTGACTACAGGATGAAGTGCATCCTGCAAGATGGCCAGATCTTCATTGGTCCCTTCAAAGGTTTTGACAACCATATGAATTTGATCCTCTGTGACTGTGATGAATATAGGAAGATCAAACCAAAGAACTCTAAACAAGCAGAAAGGGAAGAGAAACACGTCCTCGGTCTGGTGCTGCTCCGAGGGGAGAACCTGGTCTCAATGACAGTAAAAGAACCTCCTCCCAAAGATACTGGCATGGACTGAGTGCCACTTGTTGGATCTGCTGGGGGCTCCAAAATCTGTACGGCTGTAGGTAGAGGAATCCCAGCAGGTGTTCCCATGCCACAGGCGCCTGCTGAGACAGTCCATGGGGTTGGTGGGCCATCTCAGCAGGTGATGATCCCACAAGAAAGAGGCACTGTTGCAGCTGCTGCCACAGCTAGTATTACAGGGACTCCAACCCAGTACCCATCTGGCCACAGGGGTCCTCCCTCAGCTATGGCCCGAGGTACACCCCCTCCTGGCATGATAGGCCCCCCTCCTGGTATGTGGCCACCCATGGGTCTCCCAATGGACATCCCTCCTGGATGAGGGACTCCTATGGGCATGGCCCCTCTAGGGATGTGGGCCCCTCCTCCAGGTATGAGAGACCTTCTTTGGCTTTGGCTAGAGTTATAGAAGTAGCTCCATAGAAGCATGGGCCCAATTCCCCAGGGCCATTTACCACAGACCTGTTTATTATGTAGTTTTCAGAATCTCATTGGATTGTCTAGTTTCCCTTACAGGGCCCCCTCCCCGGGAATGCTCCCACTAAGGTCCTAGACTCATCTTGACCCTCCACTGCTCCCTGCTTGTTTTCTGCGAGGCTATACATAGTCCTTTTTTTCCTTGTGGCCTATGAAACTGATTTATAATAAACTCTTTTAAGAAATATTATAAATGCACCTCATATATCCATTTATTTTAGAAAAGTTTTAGATATTTTGGTGCTTAAGAGTGTAAAGGAGAGTTACCTTGAAAAACTAGCCCTAATTTTTTTTTTTAGACAGTCTCTCTCTACGTAGTGCAGACCGGCCTTAAACTCTATGTAGCCCAGGTCGGCCTCGAACTCCCGGCAATCCTCCTCTCTCAGCCTCCCGAGGGCTGGGATTATAGGCATGTGCCACCACACCCCACACTAGCCCTAATTTTAGCTGCTTTCTGTAAAATTCTTTACATGTACTTCTCATATACTGAGATTTACAAAATGAAACTATAATGAGACATTTCCCTCATCAGACTTGAAAACCAAGTTTATTGAAATATTCATATGTGGTTGGGGTGTGAATTGGTACATCCACTTTGGAAGGCACTCATCTAGATAACTCCTTGGGCAGTGCTTTATGAAGCAAATGCTAACAATGGAAACTCTATTGAGAAAGGAAAAGTTATGGTATCATTTCTCCCAGGGTCACACACATAATTAAATACTACTTTTGAAATGTAAAAAAAGAAAAAAAAGGAAAGAAAATGAGGTTCTTTCCCCTGACCTTTGTGCTAAGAAAAAGGGCACTCTGGGGCTTGGGGGTATAGCTCAGTGGTAAAATAACTGCTCATCATGAGCAAGGCCTGGGAGTTCAATTGAAAGGACAAGAAGACACAAGTACAAGGGCACTTGGTGGTGCACGCCTGTAATCCCGGCGCTTGGGAGGCTGGGGAAGGAGGCTTACCAAGAGTTTGAGGCAGCTTAGCTACATAGTGAGTTCAAGATCAGCCTGAACTATATAACAAGAGACCTTGTCTCAAAAAACAAAAACAAAAACAACAAGGGCACTATAGTAAGTAACAAGGTTCCAGAGGAGCTGTTTAGTCTCAAGATTGCTATATATATCCCTTCAAGGATACATCACTGCACCTCCCCTTAAAACTGGGTAACAAGCATCAAGTAAATTCACCCTATCCCCCAAAATTAAGATACTGAAACTGAAAACAAGGAGAACGAGGAAGAGGATGAGAGGGCTCACCTGCCAGTCAGGGGGGACCTGAGCTCCAAATCCAAACACTGGGGATAGCTTGTCCCTGTGGAAGGACAGTGAGTTGAGGAAGAGGTGGTTCAGGGATTGTGAGCCCAGAGGCTAAAGTAACAGCAGGGAGTGGGGACAGCCAAGAGAACCAGTTACTCACGAGTCATAGTCTTGAACCACACTGTCCACACTCCACAGCGCTGTCAGATACTCATTGACTCCTGTAGGACTCAGGTAGTGCAGGGAGTCAGGTGAGGAAGGATCTCCATTGGAGCCAGTGAAGTCCATGCCCACCTGGGAGGAGGCCAGGAAAGGAGCTTAAGGCCACCTTGAGCCCCATGCCTGTTCTCTTGCCCTTAGTAAGGCAACTTACAGTGAAGTTGATTTGGCAGCCTCCTATCACATAGTCCAGGAAAGAATATTCCCTTTCTACCTGCAAATGAAAACAGGGTCATGCCTGGGGTGAAAGAGGTCTGGCATCACTGGAGCTCAGGGATCAGAGCCTGGGTCACAAGGGCCATTGTCTCACCTGGCAAATCTTGACACAGATAGTTCCAGAGTTCTTGTAGCTTTTCTTTTTCTGCTGTTTCTCAGGGTGGATGCATTCAAACTCGGCCTAGTAAAGAGAGAAAAATTAGGGAAGGTAACTCCCACAGCATGAGCTAAGGACTCAAGCTGTCCTCTCATCCTTCTTCCTTGGGCTGCAGCCACCCAGGCCCACCTTAACACCCCTGAATAGGGCGCCAAGGCTCACCGGGACTGCTTGCAGCTGGGCCAAGCTGGTGTAGAAAGTACCAATAAGATCATGTGACCCATCACTATCATAGTCTGAACAGCGCACCTAAGAGGAAGGTGTGTATGTGTATATATAAAGGAGGCAGAAAACAAATGAGCAGTGCCTCCCTACACTCTCTTCCCTTGCTCAGTTCACTCAGGAGGCAAGCTCCTCACCTGGATTGATGTGTTGTAATCCCCACTACAAAAGTGCTGAAGAGGAATTGAAAAGCGCTTCCATGCAGGGTTCAGGTTGTTCTTAATTACCTGGAAGTGGAGAGTAAGACTTCTCAATGAACTCTGACCTGTTCCATGAGGAGCTGCCACACTTCCTTACCCACCTGCAATCTCTTTATCCCTATGTTCCAAACCTTGCTAGTCACAAACCCAAGAGATTCTCTCCTACCCCACCCTGCCCAATCCCAGGGGTGTCACACCTCAGGTCTGTATACCAGATGCCATTTTCCATCGTCCTGGCAGAAGAACTTCAGGAATGGATCTGATTTTCCCAGAAAGTCCTGCCAAGTGCCACAGATACTCCAGTTACAAGACTCAGAAAGAAACAACCACTATGCCAGCCCTCTGTTCCCATCTATTCCTCATACACCACAAACCATCCCACTCTCCTCAATTCTTGGATCTCCAGGGCCTCCTTCCAGCCATACCTTCTTATCTAGGTTTCTGGCCTCCACTTCCATGGTCCTTCAACTGTCCTTCAACTCCTGAGCTGAGACCTATGCAAGGAAGATCATATCACATTTGAATCCTCCATCAATGTAAGCTCCTTGTCAAACCCTTGCTGTGTTTTTCCTTACCGTGATGGTTCCCTGCCCAGCAGGTTTTCCAGGCTTCAGCATTAAGGGTAGAGTCAGTATCTGGCTGGACACAATCTGGGGCAATGCAAGGTAAAGAAGGTTTTATTATCTCAGTCAGGGCTAGATCCTGTTTACCTCCCCACTCCAGTCTAGGCACCTTGGGTTATCTGAAAGGGCACTTGTAGAACCTCTATCTAAAGGATCCTAATAATCCCTGGCCCCACATACCTGTCCTAGAGAACACTCAGCTCCCCCTAGGAAGTCATCATCCCCCAGTCCTGGTGTCTTGTTCTCTATGTCATAGATTCCAAAGCGTAGCTTCTGGACTGTCTCAAAGTGGTACTCAAGCTGCAGAGTCTTGGAGAACTCAGGGCTTGAGCAGTTCCGTATTCGCTCAGTCCGGCCAAGCTGTGGGCAGAAGCCAATAAGCATCACAGTCACATACTACCCCAGAATATAAACCTAGCCTCCCTCCATAAGCTCCAAGGCCCACCTCACCTCAACCCAGGTGGCCCCTCCTACATCCTGTAAAAGGACACAGAGTGGGTTCGACTTGGAGCTGATGTCTTTGTCAATGAGGTGTTCACAGGAAATGGACAGCTGAACCAAGGTCACGCAGTGGGCCATCTGGGGGGAAAAGAGCTGTGTCAAGCACCAGGAACCTTTCTCTACCTTTCCCTGACTCTAGGTCCTACTTTGGAAAGGCCAGCATGTTTTACTCAACAGAACTGAGCTGTATCACAGGACACCCAAGTTAACTAAGGCCCTACAGATTCATTACTCCTCAAACCCCTAAGTGAGCTCAATGGCACAGGAGATGGTGGTTACTACTAACCCTGGTCCAAAAGCATATGATATGAAATAATCCTCAGCCCTAAATTGGTCCCAATCCCACAGTGCTGCCCAGACCCAGACCTTGATCTCTGCAGAGACCAACACATCTCACTCCAACTCCTTCACAGTCCCAGGCCAGATGTTAAACCAAGCTCCAATCCCAACATTGTCTCTAATGCAACCACGATCCAGATACTGCTCACCACCCCCTCACCCAAATCTCTTCCTCTGATACTTTCACAATAACTTTGGGTTGCAATCTGACCACTGATTCTCCTAACCTCCAATCAGCTGCTTATGTCCAACTCCTCACTGTTTCTAGTGTCACTATTCAGTTCAAGGCATTATCATTTTTGGCCTAACCTACAGCATTAGCCTCATCAACTGGTCTTCTCTATCCTGTGTCATCTGCAATTCCACTCCACCATCTACTCAACACAATCTTCTCACCATAGCAAATAAGGCAATCCTATTAATGCCGAGGTTAGACCTAAACACACCTCTGCGAGAATCCTCTTAATAATTTTCTATTGCTCTTAGACAAGATCAAAACTGTAACACAGCCTATAAAGACCTGAAAGGTCTAAATATCTAACATAACACTTCTTTCCTCCTTATCCATTCTGGCCACCTTATTTGTCACTGCTCAAATAAATCAACCTCATTAATATCCCTAAATCCAGGGTGGGGGCAGGGATTTAGCTCAGCATGCCTGCTGCTTGCCTCTCAAGCACAAGTTCCATTATGGTACCAAAACAAAACAAAACAAACAAACAAACAAAATATCCCTAAACACTTTGCAGTACCTGGAATGTTCTTTCCCCATTTTATCCACATGGCTTGTTGCTGCTTTTCTCCCTCCAGGTGTTTATTCAAAACCATTTTCTCTGTTATGAAGGAATATGTTTGCCCTTTTTAGTCACTCTAAATTTTCTTTTTTTTGGAACCGGAAATCGAACTCCAGACCTTCTGCTTGCGAGGCAGGTGGCGGCCCACTGAGCTAAATCCCCAGCCCAGTCACTCTAAATTTTAACCCTACTGCCATTTCATATAGTCCTTTCTTGCTTTTTTGCTTTAACTTTTCTTTTGTTTTGTTTTTTGAGACAGAATCTCACTAGTGGTCCGGGCTGACCTTGAACTCATTATGTACCCAAGGCTGGCCTTGAACTTGTGGCAATCCTCCTGCCTCAGCATCCTGAGTCCTGGGATTACGAGCATGGGCCACCACATCCAGCCTTTGCTTTAGCATTTGTCAACTGGATATAGAAAAAAATGAACAAACAAACCCAGAGCCTTGCACCGAGTTACATCCTTAGCCCTCTTTTTCAGTTTTTTTTTGTTGTTCTTGTTTTTTCGTTTTGTTTTTTTCAGAAAGGGTCCTGGTATGCAGTTCAGGCTGGCCTTGAACTCCCTATGTAGCCCAGGTCAGCTTCAAACTTGCAGTGATCCACCTGCCTCAGCCTCCCAAATGCTGGGATTACAGGTATGAGCCACCATGTCTGGGCTTTTTTAGTTATTGAGACAAAGTTACATATATTTTATTCATATAATTTGTCTCCCCAGCTAGAATGTAAAGTGCTGAAGGAAGAAGCATTTATCTGTTGCTCACTGCTCTATCTCAAGAACCTAGACAAGAGGGACGGGAATTTAGCTCAGTGTCTCTGCGCCTGCCTTGCAAGCACAAGGTCCTGATTTCAATCCCCAGCACCAAAAAAAGAGGAAAAAAGAAAAGAACCTAGACAATAAATATTTACTATATAAAATCCAAAAGGCCAGCTGGGTGTGCTGACACAATCCTATAATCCCAGCACTGGGAGGCTGAGACCAGCTTTATACAAAGCTGATGATTTTTAAATTCAAATTGCTTAACTTGCTTTACATATTACCCCTTCATAGCACTTCAACCTCTGCTTAAGTACATCCAATGATGAAAAACCTACCACTCTTTTTTTTGGTTTGGTTTGGGGTTTTTTTGGGGTATCAGGGATCGAACTTGGGTCCTTGTGCTTGCGCAGCAGGCGGCGAAACCACTGAGCTAAATCCCTGGCCCCTGGTTTGGGTTTTTTGAGACTGGGTCTTGCTATGGAGTTCTGCCTGGACTTGAACTCACTCTATAACCCAGGTTGGCTTTGAACTTGCAGCTGAGTGCTGGGATCTTTGTTTTTGAGATAGGGTCTCACTATGTAGTTTAGGTTCCCCTTGTACTCACTACAAGGGCAGGCTGTTCTCAAACTCCCAACAATCCTCCAGGCTCAGCCTCCGGAGTGCTGGGCTCACATGCATGCACCACCATGCCCAGCAGGCCTAAAGACTTCAGACCACCCCATCACTTTCTCGGGGATGCCCCAAGGACAAGTCAGAATAGGACAGGACCACAGCTTTTGCTAAATTATAATCTCAACTCCATACCTGTTACCTTGCATGTTCTTGGTGGTGGTGTTTGCACAGTATAGAGACAAATGAAAAAGACTATTCATTTCACCATTGCTAAAAATAATGAAAAACCTGAGGTAGCTTAAAGGTCTATTAAGGTAAATCACTTCTTGGCCTTTTGGCTAAGATCAAATGTAGTATCAACTAAGTGGTGACCAAGTTAATTACCTTGTATTTAATCAATAGGATGCTGAGTAGCAGCTAAAGAAAAAAAAAAAGGTAGACCCATATTATACTGCTATGATCTGAAAAACTTAAAATTGCAAAAAACATTGAGTATGACACTAACAAAAGTATGACATTATTTTAAACTTCCATTGTATGTACATAAACAGATTTGAATATACAGTACAAAATAAATACAGAAAAATGGAAGATACATGACTGAGGATACAGGTCAATGGTAGGGCATGTATCTAGTATGTACAAGATCCTAGGTTTAATCCATAGCAAAACAACAAAAAATATGATTTTTAGATACTTTGGAGTGGAATGCTGAGTTTTATGTACTCTAAATACTTATTATTTCAGTATTTTATGCTGTTCATTTTATACATTTTAAACGAGGTATGGTGGCACATGCCTATAAGCAGCACTACAGAAGGCTGAGGGAGGAGGATTGCAAGTTCAAGCCCAACCTGGACAATTTAGGCTGTCTCATAATGGGGGGAAGGGGCTGGAATGTACCTCATTGTGAAGGCCCTGGGTTCTGTTAGCAGCATGGGGCGGCAGGGCGGGGGAGCCGCCAGGGTGCTTCCTCATTAGCCACCCTTCTCCCAATTCATACCGAAGTCCTCTTGACTATTCATTCAAAGCCCAAAGCCTCTACTTCAACAACCCCTGTCTAACATCAGGCTTTACCTTTCCTTTCCCTGGTTTCTCCTCCCTAACACTGCCCCTCTCAGTCATCCCTGATGCCAGTTTCCAGAGTCGCTACTCTAATTAAAAGCACTATAGGGCCGGGGATATAGCTCAGTGGTTCCAGCGCCTGCTGCACAAGCCCAAGGACCCGAGTTCAATCCCCGGTATCCCCCCCCAAAAAAGAAAAAAAGCACTTTATAAGTATCCATAGCCCTCAGGTTTAGCACTAAACTCCCTAGCAAGCTACCTTGTTGCATAGCTCTAGATAGCACAGAAGTGAGTTGTGTAATATGGTAACCCTGTATTCCCAGTGCAACTGGCCCCATCTCTTGCCATTTATTCACCCATACAACTAGTCATCCAAAATTACTTCTGGGTTCACCAAACATATCCATGCACACACATGCCCCTATGACTTTCTCACATAGTGAATTTCTTGTCATCCAAGGGTCTGATATGATAATTGTTCTTTTATAGATGCTTGCCTACCTCCCCTGGGTAGAACTTTATTATCTCTCCTCTGGAAAACTGCAATGGTTTCCTAAGTCTTTCTGCAACCAAACGCACACTTCTGTGTTTATTAGCCAAACAGAAATCATATTGTTTCTCTGATTAAAACTCTGAAATGACTTCACCAAACACTCAAAATAAAACCCAAAGTTCTTATCATAGTAAGGCACTGTGAGACCTAATCCTTGGGTAAATCACCATCTCACCACCCAAGTATGTACCAGCCAGGTTGTCTTTTCTGATCCACATACACCAATCAATCTAGTAGGTAGGTACTCAAAGTCAGAAACTGACTTGACATTAAAAGCATTACACCATGGGCCGGGGATTTAGCTCAGTGGTTCTGCTGCCTGCCTCACAAGTGTAAGGTCCCAAGTTCGATCCCCGGTACCCAAAAAGCAAAAACAAAAACAAAAACAAAACTCCATTACACCAGAATTTTTTTGTTTTGTTTTTTGGTACCGGGGATCGAACTCAGGTCCTTGCACTTGCGCAGCAGGTGGCAAAGCCACTGAGCTAAATCCCTGGCCCCTACACCAGAATTTTTACTTCTATTTGTCTCCTGTCATAATCTATGGGCTCCCTGGAACTAACACTAGGTATTAGCTCTACATCCCTAATACTAGTACTTGGTATAGAGTTAATATTCATGACTCTGCTGAATAAATAGTGAAAGTGCTTTTGCTTAATTTACACCTTCAGTCCTTTTTCATTTGAACTACTATCTAGGAGTAAATTTTTCCTATCCTGATTTTCTACAATTGAGTTTTAAAAATTTAAGTTTTTGATTTAAAATTTTAAAAATTTAAAATTTAAAAATTTAAAATTTTTTTGGACTTATGCAGCTTCATATTAAAGGAGAGTCAAAGATTTGATTAGATACTTCATAAAGGAAAATGAGTAAAAGAAGTGAAGCACAACATTAGTTATCATGGAAATACAAAATAAATCTCACTGAGATAGTTACATACCCACCACAATAGCTAAAA